CAGTTAGACTGTATAACACATCATCATGATGTCATCAGTTAGACTGTATAACACATCATCATGATGTCATCAGTTAGACTGTATAACACATCATCATGATGTCATCAGTTAGACTGTATAACACATCATCATGATGTCATCAGTTAGACTGTATAACACATCATCATGATGTCATCAGTTAGACTGTATAACACATCATCATGATGTCATCAGTTAGACTGTATAACACATCATATGTCATCAGTTAGACTGTATAACACATCATGATGTTATCAGTCACTTGGACAATTCACCTACACTGCCATCATTAATATGTACCTTCATATACAGTATATTCATTTATGTACTGGACTAGGTATTTGTATCTTGTTATATATCACAAGTATAGTGTTTTTTTTTGTTTTTCTTTTACTTATCTTTCTTTTTTCTATCTCACCCTGTCCTGTTTTGAGCTGCTGTAATGTGCAAATTTCCCCACTGTGGGATTAATAAAGTTTTATCTTATCTTATCTCTTTACTCCTCTGTCAAACCAACGTTCCTCTCTATCAAGGATGAGAACATCTTCATCCCTGAAAGAGTGACTGCTGGTGTGTGGATGAGTGTAAACTGCGACAGCTGCAGGGTGTTGTGTGAAAAACACTATCATAGTGGACTGCGCAAAGTTAAAGTTTTATAGCATCGGCTAATTATAAGGCACAGCACCGTACACTTAAGAAATTGAGCAGCTCATTTCACCATTGTTATATTCAATGGTCTGAGCCACTTAGTCTGAAACTTAGTAACATTATCACCACTGACGTTAGCTGGTGGACGATCCAGAGGGTTTGGTTCATTTACGACATCGCTGGTAACAGCGACACTTTGGAGCAGGTTCCTCTTCAGCTGATATAACGTTAGAAATACCAACGATCCATGTTTAGGTTTCCTTCCCAAATACTGTTAGCATTAAATCCAACAACTGAGCTTTTGTTAGCGAAAAAGTTAGCTCATACTTTAAGGAAGCAAAGAAGAAGAAAAACAGCACGCCAATTCTGTAGCAGAACTGTTCTTCTTTGTGTTAAGTCTGATGTAAACGTGCACATCACACATTAATGTAATTTACTGAATGCAGGAATTTCCCACCTTATAAAGACTACATTTGCAGGGGTCGATCATATAATGTGCAATATCTACAATCCTGCAGTGAATTTCAGGCCAGCGGTCACTGTTTCAGGGATGAAGATGTTCTCATCCTTGATAGAGAGGAACGTTGGTTTGAGAGAGGAGTAAAGGAAGCCATCTTTGTGAAGAAAAACCGTCCACCATTAAACAGAGGTGGAGGCCTTCAGCTGTCCCCTCCTACAATGCTGTTATTGAAAGTATGACTCAGCCCACTGTGAACACTAGATGATAATCAGGAATGTGAACCCTTTGACTGTCATTGTTAAACCTGTTTGTCCACCATGTGGAGGCGGAGCTTATAAGGCTGAGTTCACCTGAAACTCCTCAGACTGAGGAAATCTCTTGGAGGAGAGACGAAACGTTTCATTAAATTAGAACCCATTCAGAGGACATTTTTTTTTATTTTTCTAGTTATCTTTGTTAAAAGTGTGTTAATTCTGTACTAAATAGTAATTTCTTGAGAATAAGCTATCCTGTTCCAATGGACTTTTGTGTCTAAAGAAAGGTTAATTTTCTAGGGCCAACCAAAAGTGAAAATTTATCAAAAGCTCATCAGAAATGATTATTAATGCTTGGTTTGAATTTTGTAGTTTTTTCACCTTCTGAACAAGAAGTTGGATGCTGGAAAGAGGAAGGTGGCATTAGTCTTGAAACAAGGCCTTCCTCCTCTTCACTATCAGAATCTGAGATGACTAGTGGTGGTTTGGGAGCTGTAGCACCTTCTGGTCTGGACTGCTTGCTTAAACCACTGGGACCTGGAGATGGTTAAAAACAAAAACAAACAAAAACAAAACAAAAAAATAATAACTTTTTTTAAGAAAAATGGTAACGTACACTACTGATCAAAATCATTGGACATCCCTCATTCAGTGTTTTTATTTTTTGTTCCTACATTGTAAATAACACTGAAGTCATTCAGACTACGAAGAAACACATAAAAGTTAGTTACCGTATTAATTCATGTATAATACAATCTCATGTATAATATGAACCCCCCGCCCCTCTTTTTGAGCTTAAAAAGCATAAAAAATTTAATCTCAAACTACCTCCAATTTCATACAGACTTCAAGATTTTTCAGCCTT